GCTAAAACTCACAGTGTCCTTGGGCCTCTTAGCAACCTACTCCATTCCAAAGGCCCAAAAATGTCAAAAATATTTGGGAGTTTTTATCTTACCCTTAAAAGAATTTAGAGTTACCTCTTCAGAAGGGGGAAATGTTAGAGTAGCCAAAAGTCCCATAAGAATAAATAAATCAAAGAAGAAAGAATACATGAAGTTATCAGGAAAAAAGTGATGGGGAGATATGGAAGAAGTTGGAGGGGAGGGAGTGGGCATGGATTTTGATGAAAACACTTTATATGCATGTATGAAATTCTCAATAAATTATTTATTTTTAAAAAATATCCCACCTAAAACTAGTCCAGGACTAGCTGGATAAAACGCAGAATTCTTCAAAACTTTGAAAGAAGAACTGATATCAATGCACTACAAATTATTCTGAAAAATAATATAAAAGGAATATGCCCAAATTCTTTCTTTGAAGCAGTATTACTCTAATTCCAAAACTGTTCAGTAGAGTCATTTCTGAGATGAGATTCTCATGCACACACACACACACCACACACTATATATGAGAGAGATTTACACACACACACACACAAAATATTGGCAACCTGAATTCAAGAACACACCATAAAGGCTATCCACCATGACCAAGTTGACTTCATTCCAGTGATGCAGGAATGGTTCAATATATGAATATCAATAAAATTAATCCACCACATGAAGAGACTCAAGGGCAGAAACCGCACGATCATCTCATAGATATAGAAAGGTCTTTGAGAAAATTCTACATCTATTCATGATAAAAGTCATGGAGAATCTAGGGATGCAAGGGTATGTGCCAAAATAATGAAGGCAGCATGTCAAAGGTCCACAGCCAACATAACATAAATGGAAAAAATTGAAGGCATTTCAATTAAAATCAGGAATAAGCCAAGGATGTTCACTGTCTGCATGACTGTTCAGCATACAAAGTCTTAGCTAGAGCTGTAAGAAAAACCAAGGTTATACAAATTCAAAAGTCTACGCCATAAAACTCCTAGAGCTGATACATTCAAAAATATGTCAGGATATAAAATAAACACCAAACTATGAGTAGCTTTCTTGTGTACCAAAAACAAACATACCAGAAAGAAATGTGGGAAACGATTCCATTCACTATCACCTCAAAAATCCTAAAATATCTTGTAGTAAATCTAATAAAGAAAGTGAAGAACTTGTATAATAAAATCTTAAAGTATTGAAGAATGAAATTAAAAACAATTCCAGAAGATGGAAAGATCTCCAAAACTCATGGATTGGTAGGATTAATATTGTGAAAATGACCATCATTTCAGATACAACCTACAGATTCATTTCAACACTCACTGAAACTCCATCCCAAATCTCCATAGAAATTTTTTTAATCTAGAATTTCATGAGGAAACTCAAAAAAATCCACCCAGGATATCCAAAATAATACTGAACAGTAAAAGAGCTGCTGGAGGCATCATTATCCATGATCTCATATTGTACTACAGAACTGCAGGAATAAAAATAGCATGACACTGGCATAAACAGGCATATTGATCAGTAAAATAGAATTGAGGACTCAGATTTAAATTCACAAATTCAGACTATCCTACTTTTTCACAAAGTTGTCACAAATAGAAACTGTTCAACAATTGGTGCTGATCAAACTGGATAGCAGTATATAAAAGAATAAAACTAGATTTCTATCTCTCCCCATGCACAAAATTCATTGCCCAATGGTTCAAGGACCTCAAAATAAGACCTGAAGCCCTGAAACAGATAAAGGAGAAGGTAGGAAATACATTGGAACTTACAGGACTTTCTGAACAGGACTCCATAGTGCAAGCATTAAGTTAAACAATTGACTAGTGGGTCCATATGAAACTTAAAAGCTTTGGTTCATCAAAGGACACCATCACTATGAATGAAGAAGCATCTCATGGAATGGGAAAAAAAATCTCTAGCTATACCTATAGAAACAAGTTTTAATTCAGGATATAAAAAGAAACTTAAAAAATTAAACATCCTAAAACAAACAACCCAACAAAAATAATGGAAATGGAGTAAGGAGCAGAGCAGGCGTTCTCTAAAGATGAAGTACGGTGCCTGAGCAGTATTTTTTTAAATGCTGAACTCTTTCGTCACCATGGAAATTCAAATGAAAATCACTTTGAGATCTCATCTCACCCCACTCAGAATGGCTAAGCTCCTAAAAACAAACAATGAGAAATGCTGGCCAGGATGTGGAAAATGGGGAACTCTTATCCCCTGCTGGAGGGAGTGCAGACCAATGAAGCCACTGTGGAAATCAGTGTGGAGATTCCTCAGAAATTTGAAATCTGATCTAACACATGATCCAGCCATACCACACTTGGGCATATACCCAAAAGCCTCTATAGTCTACGACTGAACTAAGTTTTTTTTTTTAAATTTGTATTGCTGTCCTGTCATAAAAGCCAAAAACTGGAAACAACCCATACTTCCATCTACTGATGAATGGTTAATAAAGGTGTGGATCATATACAGAATGGAATATTATTCAGCTCTTAAAATTACAAAATTATCAAATCCACAGGTAAATGGATGAAACTGAAAATAATCAACCTGAGCAAGGTAACCCAGACCCAAAAAGACAAACGTTACATGTTCTCTCTCGTAGCTGGATGCTAAGATAGAAATTCTAGATATTCATGTTTCAATTGGACAATCCAAAAAAAGTCAGGAAACTAATAAACAGCATTCAGTGGGGTAGGCTTCCTGAGAGGGTGGTACAATGCAGTGATATAAAGGCTCAGAGATCTTTGTGGAAGATGGGGCGGCAATTTTGTAAGAGCCAGAGGTAGTAGATCACAAGGAAACAGTTTTTCAGTCAGCTAATCAGATACTTATAGGACCTTACAACAATGATGACAGCTTCCACAAGACCAGTGCAAGCTTGAACCAGGCAAAATTCCTGAATAAATGTCAAGTCATGGGTAAGAAACTCCACCTTACCTTAGAGAATTGTTGGCAACAGATGATTGCTGGGAGGAGGGGAGCCAGTCTCTTTCAAATATATACATATATATATACATATATATATATATATATATCAGAGAGAGAGAGAGAACATTAAATAGGCTGGGGGCAGTAAGGGGGTATAGATATGAGGAGGTGTAAATACCCTCAAATTATATTGCATAAAAATTGCAAAAATTTAACTTAAAATTGTTTAAAATAAAGCATCTTTTTTAGATGGGCATGGTGGCACACCTTTAGTCCCAGCACTCAGTAGGCAGAGGCAGGTGGATCTCGTTGTGAGTTCAAGGCTAGCCTGGTCTACATAGTGAGTTCTGATAAGCTGGGACTTCAGGGAGACCGTGTCTCAAAAAGACAAAAAAAAAAAATTTTAAGTTAAATATATTTTATTTGGTTGGCTTCTTGTTTTTCTAAAACAACGTATTACTATGCAGGTATTTTCATCATATAGAATCATGCCTGACTTAGTTTAAGTATTTTTAAATAAATGCATTAAATTATATATAAATATATATATTGTATAATGTATAAATATATATCTATGTATATAAATCAGGCAATGCGTTGCTTTGCTACATGCGTATATTGTGCAGTATTTAAATCAAATTAATTAAATGTATATCCCTACACATCTTGATGGTGATTTATTTATAGGATTCTGAACTACGTGATACCCTCGACAGCACTTAGGTGCCTTAAGGCTGTCAAAAGCTAACATCTGGCGCAACACAACAACAGAACTTTCAATTCCCCTTGGTGTTTGAGAGTCATTGATCAAAATGTCCCAGCTCTCACCTTCCTCTGCTCTCTGTAATCACTGTTGGATTCTCAGTTTCTATGGAATGAAGGTTTTTTTCCTTTCTTGTATTTTACGTGTGAGTTTTTGTTTGTTTGTTTTAAAGAAAATCAGGGACTGGAGAGATGGCTCAGTGGTTAAAGCAGTCCACAGCTCATCCAAGTCATGCAGAGAATCACACTTTAGTTCCCAGCACTAACATATTTTGGAGGCTCACAACCACATAGAACTCCAGCTCCCAGAGGATCTGGTATCTCTGGCATCAACAGGCAGCGTCACTCAGGTGCATATATCCACATGCAAACACCCTGGAATAACAGGCATACACATAATTACGAACTTTAGAGAAAACAAAAAGAAAGTCAGAAACATTGCTGTATGCACGTAGTTAGTTAACTGAAATAAATATGAAGAAGTCACCTCACTTACTCGGAAACCAATTTGAGTAAGGAGGTGAAAGGTCAGATCACTACAATGAAAACTAACATAGTATTTATGAATAAAATTAAAGAAGACATATGTGTGTGTGTGTGTGTGTGTGTGTGTGTGTGTGTGTGTGTAGTGGCCTGTGCTCATAGTCTTAAAGAAAGAAACAAGATAATTTAAATGTCTGTTCTACATGGATCAAGGTGAGCTAGAGAGTCAACAAAGTTCCCATCATAATACCAGTGATAGGCTCATAGATCTAGAAAAAAAGGCTTGAAATGTATGGTACCACAAGAGTCTCCAAATATTCAGCAATTATGAAACTGCTTTAGAAAAAAAAATAATGGAAGCCCTTCAGGGATTTTTCCTTTAGCAACATCAACAGGAAAACCAGATGATGGGCATGCTCTGCCCTTCCACATGAAGAAGTGGTCAACGGAATGGGAGATGCGTGCAGTCAGAGGCCCGACAAGGGAACAGTATTCAGAACACCAAGGAATGTCTCATTAACAGTACAAAACCAAACATGTCAACTGAGAAACAAAAGCTAGGGACTAGACAAAATTGATGATTATCAAAAGAAATCTAACAGTACAGGGTATAGTCCAACATCCAGCCAGCTGAGGCAGGAGGATTGCTGGGTTTGAGGATGCTCCAGTTTGACCACCAGGGAAGCCAGAGATATCCTGAGTGACTGTGTCTTAAAAAAAAAAAAATAAGACTAGGCTCTACAGACACCACTGTCCTCTGCAGCCGTGTGCTGTCACCCATGGTCCATCCCACTGTGCTCTTCAACATGGAGTTTGATGGCAGGCCTTTGTGTCATGTCTCCTTCGAGCTGTTGGCACACAAAGTTACTAAGACAGCAGTAAACGTTCATGCTCTGAGCACTGGAGAGAAAGGATTTGATTATAAGGGTTCCTCCTTTCACAGCATAATTCCAGGATTCACGTGAAGGGTGGTGACTTCACACCCATAATGGCACTGGTGGCAAGTTGATCTATGGGGAGATATTTGAGGATGAGCACTTCATCCTGAAGCACACAGGCCCTGGGATCTTGTCCATGGCAAATGCTGGACCAAACACAAATGGTTCTCAATTTTTCATTTGCACTGCCAAGACTGAGTGGTTGAATGGTAAACACATGGTCTTTGGGAGGGTGAACATTGCGGAAGCCATGGAGGGCTTTGGATCCAGGAATGCCAAGACCAACAAGAAGATCACCATTTCCAACTGTAGACAGCTCTATCACTTTGGACTTATGTGCATCTTAACCACCAGACTATTCTTTCTGTTGCTCAGGAGAACACCCTCCCTCCCATCTGCTCTCAATACCCCATAATCTTTGTGCTCTCGACGCAGTTCTTGGGGTTCCGTATTCTTGTTCCCCTCCAAGTCTAGCTGGATTGCAGAATTAAGTTTATGATTATGAATAAAAATTAAATAGGAAAAAAATAAAAAAAGCAAGTCTTACTAGTGTCCATTAACAACACTAATTCTCGTGAAATGCAACTTGAGAAGACATTGAGATACCTCACTCCAGTAAGAATGACTATTATATTATCAAAAAGACAAAAGATTTCAACGAGGATGAGGATGTGGGTAAAGAGGGCTCCCCTCTCCCGTACCTCTGCTAACATGGCCATATGGAGAGCATGCTCCAAAGAACAACAGGTCTGCACTTCATTCTGCAATGTGAGAACTTTACTCTATGGATACTTAACTAGTATTCTATATGTGAGCATTGCAACAGATGTTATAAATGATTTGAATCTAAGAAGAGGCTGTGGTTACAGGACAAGCACTATACTAATAAAGACCATGCAGAGGCAAGATGCTCAAAGCTCAGATATTTAATATGGATAATTACACTTTTCTTTTTTTTTCACGTCAGACGGGTAACATGCCGCTGCATAACAAGGTTTGAGGACAGCATGTCACACAGACTCGTGAACACCCGATCATCATCACGCTTATGAACCAAAAACAGTTTGGATAATTACACTTTCAATAGCAAATTGGATTTATTTATTTCTGTGTCAATGTGCACTTAAACACACATGTGTCTGTGCACATATGAGTGGAGGTCAGAGTATAACTTGCTGAGGTTGGTTTTCTCCTTCCAACATGTGGGTCCAGGGGATGCTACTCAGGCCACCAGGCTCGTCCTAAAACTTTAAGTAAATCACAGGAATGATTTCTACGGTGAAAAATTGAATAAGAGCAAAGTTTTATCTACGGTTGTAATATAGATGTTTGAGTATAAAGTAGAAACAGCCAAGATCAAGACATGATAAATAAAATAAAGCATATTTAAATAATTCATAGGGCCTCACAATAACCCTGTGTGAAATTATGAAGCAAAATATTTATATGAGAAAGATTACTCAGTATCAGTTTAAACATCTAAGTTCACTCACTTATTCTTGAAATAGTAAAATGCTAAAATTGTGTTTCATACAAATCAGTAAAGTATGCATGGATGCTTTAAGGAAAAAAAATCCTTTGTGAACACAGCACATTCTATGAACTAGCATGTGACACTGACCTTGTGCTCTAATTCAATACCGCTTCCAAAACTTCTATGAGTCTGAAAATCAGAACTATACTACAACCAGTACAGATATTTAAATGGTATTTTACAAAATGCAAAAATACTTCTAAAGGAGAAAATGTAAGCATATTGTAAATGGTGATGGGATTACTAAGTCAGCATGGAAAGAATAAGAGCTGCAGCGCTAAGAAAGCAAGGTGGACCTGGATATGGGCCTTCATTTTTTTCGAGTGTAATTGATTTAGAAGTAAAATCAATCACATACACACAACCAGCAGTTAACAGCTTTGCTGAGTAAGCCCATTTTCTAACTCTCCCTTATTAAAAGGACAAGAAACAGCTGAACTTAGCACATATCTATTTGCATAGAAATCATATTTCTAAAAGTCTTTAAAGCAGTTTATCATAGGTAGATTAAGAATTAACCTCCTTAAAATTTACCTGAATTTGCATATCCAGACCCTTAAAATCGATAATTAAATGTTAAACACAATATAGCCTATACATGAATAATTGTTTCCATACCCTATTTTACTAAGGCTTAATTCACATAATTTTCTTTTTTGTTTTACTAAACCAAACACATAGTTTTTGTTAAGAAAACTATTCCTAAAGCACTTTGCCTTTTACAGTTGTATACTATATGAAAAGATAACTTCAGTTTCCAAAAAATCATTTTTCTATACTGTTTTCCTTTGAAACATATGAAACAGTGACATAAAATAAAATACCTAAAAGAAAGTAGCAAATAAACTCATGAAAATATACTCATTCTAGCTCAACGCAAATGGACATTTCTGTAATCCCTGCATCAGAGACAGATGCAAGACTGTTAGTTGGAGGCTGGTCTGGACTAGCAAGTTCAAGACCAGCCTGAACTATACAGTGGGCATTAAATTTAATGAGATAAACCTCATCAACCAGGAAAATAGTTTTATTGATCAAACATCAAATATGTAAATGAAAACAGTACTTATTTGGGGCTAGTTTAGGTACCACAAGTTGACATATAAATTGGTTTAGCTATTTTAAAATCACTGGGTTGCTAACAGAAGCAGTTTGGAGAGCATGCTTCCTCTTGAGACCCAGAAATCTCTCAGAATCTATCATAAAAGAAGAGCAAACCCTGAGTTATGAAGTTTGGTAAAAGTATATGTTTAAAAAGACAATAGTAAGAGATAAAACTAGATTCAGTGAATTTCTGACTACTAATAAATGCACAACAGCTAAAACTCAAAAGAACTTTGTTCTAAAATGCTGCTTTACATGATTACTGGTGCAAAAAGCTCACAACATATGGAACGTGCAGAAAGGTGAAAATAAAGTTATGCAATTACATAATGAAATTTGGCAAAAAATTTTAAAACCCAAGGAAATGCATCAATGCACATATGTAAACTAAGAAATGCTGAGAGGGCAGACGGTTGATTGATAGATGGACAGGAGACCAACAACTATTTCTGACAAATTTATCTGTGCATTTTGGATAAACATGTGTTACCTTCATTGTTTAAAAAAAAAGAACATGGCCAGGCCTGGTGGCGCACGCCTTTAATCCCAGCACTTGGGAGGCAGAGGCAGGTGGATCTCTGTGAGTTCAAGGCTAGCCTGGTCTACATAGTAAGTTCCAGGACAGGT